AAGTGCTTGGTGGGAATGAAAGGGTTCTGGGAGCTGCAAGGGAATGATCCAGCCTGGAGTGGGAAGCCCGTATTCCATGTGGGACATGTTGGTGAGGAAAGGAAGTATTTGGGGTGATTGATGGGACCACAATTCCGTTGGTTAGGGAAGTGAACTGTCTGTTATCCTGCAGAGTGAAAAAGCAGGATGCAGCATCCATGCTGTGCCCTCAGGACAGGTGTCTCCAGCACCTGGGCAAGGTGACCTGGATGTGCTCTCAGGGAGAAGGGAAGCATCTCTGCTGCAGAGCAGAAAATCACTCCTGAGGTAAAGCTGCTGTGGGAGGTGGCAGGACACAAAGCTCCTTTGGTTTTGGTTTTCCAGCTGCATTTCCTAAGAAGTTGAGCTGGGAGCTGGCAGGCCTGGGCTTGAACTTCCCAGTGAGACAGCAGGTTGGGACTGGGACATTCCTGGGGAACAAGGTGACATTTCAGCAAGGGAAAGGGATCCTGGGAGGGGCAGCATTCTGGGACGTGGTGCTGGATTTCTGTGGAACAGCAAAGGGTTCTGTCCTTTAGCAACACCTGCAACCATCCACTGAGACCTACAAATCCAATATTTTTGGTGAATTCTGTATCCCTGAGCAGTGAAGGCAAACATCTGGCTTGTTTTGAGGGAATTTCCTTGGGTGAGTCACCCTGGAGGACTCTGGAATTTGCAGAGGCCGGCTGGAAGAGGGTGCTGGCACAGATGAGATGGGATTGCTTTGTCATACCTGGGTCTTGTGAAAGTGTCATCAGGTGCCTGAGGGAAAAGGTAGGGAAGGAACATTGGGACAGCAGGGCTTCCTCCATGCAGACATCCCCAGGGATCTGGCAGAGGGAGGAAAAAACTCCCAGTAGATCCGATTTCAGCCTAGGTTTGGCCTCCCATCTTTTGCTCTGAACAGCAGGAGGCTGGGAACCAGGGGAGGTTTTGGGGTGATGGAAGTGGGAATCCTGAGTTAGCCTGTGGATGCAGGGATGGGGAATTGCAGGGGGTTGTGAACCTGTGGGTGCAGGGATAGGGAATTGCAGGGGGTTGTGAACCTGTGGGTGCAGGGATGGGGAATTGTAGATGTTGTAAGTATGTGGATGCAGGACTGGGAATTTGGAGGCGGTTGTGAGCCTGTGGATACAGGAATGGAGAATTGCAGAGATGGAGAATTGCAGGGAGTTTTGAGCCTGTGGATGCAGGAATGGGGATTTGCAGGGGTGAGGAATTACAGAGGTTTGTGAACCTTTGGATATAGGGGTGGAGAATTGCAGGGGGTTGTGAGCCTGTGGATGCAGGGATGAGGATTGCAGGGGGTTGGAGTACTGGGCTGTGTGGGTGCCTCGGGAATCTGCAATTCTGGGAGCTTGGAGCAAATCCGGCTGGATTTGGGTGGAGAGAGTGGGTTACTCTGGGGGTGTTGCTGTGGTGTGGGTGGGCTCCTGGCATGCAGGATCCAGGCACAGCCTTTTTCCTTCAGCTTTATTTCCTGGTGTACTTCTCCCTAAGGAGGCTCATGTCAGATGGGATGGGCTGTTGGATTAGCCTAAGTCTCCGAGGTTTAGCTGGAATGTTGTCTCACTGTAGCGTTTTTCTCCCTTGCTCTTTTCCCTAAGCCTTTCCCTACAGACAGCTAATTCTCCCCTTCCCCCACATCCTGTCATAGCCCAGAGCATGTCACAAGGAATTAACGGCTGGAAAGGCCGGGAGAGGCTTCTCTGGAACAGTCTCTCCTTTCTGTGCCCGGGGTGGCCCCCTCTGTGTGTCCCTTTTGTGTCCCATCCAAGTCCCCTCCCCCTGGCCATTCACTGGAGAGTCCGTGGCCAGGAGCCTTTCCCAGCCCGATGCCATGGCTGTGTCCGAGGGCTCCCGGCAGCGCTCCCGCTTTCTCGGTGGGAAGAGGGAGGAGGTTTGTGCCGCTCCAGGGTTTTCCTCCTCTCCCGGCTCCGCATCTCTGACAGCATCGCCGCTCTCGCTCCCAGTCCTCCTTCCCACAATCCACGTACAATCTCCTCAGAATAGGGATGATGTCACTTCCTTCCAGAGGGTGCTGGGGGGTGTGGAAGGGGGGAGTCACGACCTCTGGCTCTCGGCATTCCCGGTGGATAAATGAGGTGCAGGGAGGGAGTTGCTCTGAGGATGATGCCCGGCTCTGTCGGCAGGCAGATCCCAGTTCCCACGCCGTGCTTCCCTTTGCCGAGTGGGATTTTCAATGGCTGCAGGAAGAGTTTTCTGTTCCCTCCTGAGCTTGTGATGCCTGTCTCCCTGGATATGCACTTTTCCTGAAATACCCTTCTGGGAGAGAAGGATGCGCAGCGGCTGGACCACATGCCATGTAAGGTTCTTGCTTCCCTAGATCTTGCCCAGCTCTGAGGGGGCTCCCTGTGCATGTGCTTCCCTTATTTCAGTTTTGGGAGCTTGGGGCTGCTTGTACTGGGATTCAGCTTTCAAGACCCTGGGAATGTTTGGCTCTTTCCAGCAGTTTTAGGGAGAGTGTGAGGGTTCTTGCTGTCACAGAGCCGGGGTCAGTGGTCTCAGGGCTCTTTGCACTTCAGCCTTCCGGTTCCTCCCAATTCCTCTGCTGGATCATATCTTCAGCATCTTAAAACAGTTCCTGGGATTTGCTGTGCTGGGACGAACCTGAAGAGTCCTCACAGTGAGAGTTTTTTCTGGTGGGTTTTCCGGTCTCAGGCCTTCCTTCATCTCCCTCATTTCCAAAGCAGGGGCAAAGCCCCAAACCTCCTGGTTTAAATTCAGGAATCTTTGGGAATAAATTTGGAATGTTCCTGTCCTGGGAGCCTGGTAAGTGGAGTGACAGTTCCACAGTGAGTATTCCCGTATGTGACAGTGAGTGACAGGCTTCTCTGCTCTGTCTCCATCTGTTGCCGTGGATAAGGAATCCACATTGGATATTTGTTGCTGTCGTTGACATCCTGCTTCTCAAACTGGGAGAGGGTGGTAGGAACTGGGAGAGCCCAACTGGAGGGGTAGAAGAGTTCCGGAAAGCGCGTTGGTGGGATGCAGCCGAGGGATGACGGGAACGGAGCTGGGCTAGGAAGTGCTGGAGGTGTATCCAAGGTTTGTGATATCCCAGCTGTCCTGGGTGGTGAATGACAGGCACGATGGGGCTGGGAGGGAGTCTCCAGATGGCCAGAGGAGTGAAGGTAGAGCTGGAATGTACCCAGTGCTCTGATTATTCTGTGCTGAGGAAGTGGGAATCCAAATGGCATTGGAATTTTGCATTTGCTTTGTTTGTGGAATGGAGCATTTCCTTCAACTGAGTGACCGGCTGGAATTGGCCTGTTAACTTGAAATCCCCTGGAATTTGAGAAGATTGTGTAGGTTTTCAGTAATGGGTCGCTGGAAGATCCATTCCAGTGGCTGTGGGTGTCGGCACAGGAGAGGAGACTCTGGATTTGGGATATTCTGGGAAGTGGTGAGGTAACCACACCTGACTGCTGGGTTGGATTTAGTGGGACAGGGCAGGAATTTGTGACATGGACTGTCTCAAACACAACATTTGTGTTACCTGAAAGGTTCAACTTTAGTTTAAATCATGGGCAACCTGGACTTGTGGGAAGTGTCCCAATCCATGACAGGGAGATGGAACTGGATCGTCTTCACGCTCCCTTCCTATCCAAGCTATGTTGGAATTCTATGGATGTCCTCCCCTTTCTAATTTGTCTTACCCACAGCACTAAATTAGGGGCATCATATCCAAGTGGGGGGTTTTTTTGCCTGGTACAGGAAGTATTGCAGGTGGTATTTCCTTGGGAATGCTGTTGGAAATCCTGTTGTAAGTAACAGATGAGGACACTTTGTTGTTTGCTGTTGGGTTCACAGAGGCAAAAATCCAAGAGCACTTACGGATTTGCAAATGCATCTTTGGAACAGCATGGCCACCACAGGCCATGGGTGGAGCACTCCAGCAGCAGTGCATGGATGTGGGAATTGGGAGATTGGTGGAGTTAGGAACTGGGATGGATCAATTGGGAGGGCTTGGAGCAGAGAGGCACAGGTGAGGTGGAGCATTCCCTGGTAGCACAGGTAAGAGGTGGAACAGGGATTAGGGCATGGAAGGAGGGACAGGATTGATCCCCAAATCCAGAAATCTCTGGTGTCTGTGGCAAGAGTGCAAAGACACCATCCTGGATTCGGCAAAACCAAGGAAAATTCCTGGTAGTGGGTCATGTGTTGAGCCAGGAAGGCAGGAGTGGGATAAGGTGTGCTACCAGAGTCCCTCTGGAGCAGCTTGGAGTATAGCCAGCAGGGATGGAGTGGGATGGCTGTGCTGGAGGAGGCTGGAGCGCCCTGTGCAGTCTCGTGACTTTGCACCACTCCTGTTTCTATTTTCCAAAGGGTTTGGGAAGCCCTAAAAATAGGAGCACAAACAAAACCCAGGGAGGAACAGCAGCTCCTCAATATTCCACCGTGGAATTGGTCGTGCCTGTCAGGGCCGGTGCGGATGCGACGGAGATGTGGAGCTGGCAGGATGCTCCTGCTGGTCCAGGGGGAGATCTCCTAGGAGCCAATATCCTCACTGGAAGTGCTGTTGGGAGCCAGTCTATAGTTCCCCAGATGCTGCCCCTGGCTGTTAATGGATGTTTTGGCTTCCTGAGCCAAGTGTGGGGGGGAGAATTGTTGGACAACAGCCTGGCAGCAGGTTTGTGCATGGAAATGCACAGTAATAGGGTTTTCCAGAGATTTGAGGCCAGGATGACCTGTCCGAAATCCCACAGTGGCTGCTCACCATCACAGCCTAACAGGATTCCAGGTAATCCCATGAAGTGGATCTGGATGAGTTACACACCGGCTTCACCTAATACTTCCCATTCCTTCAACTACCAGCTCTCCTTTCCGAGCATGCCATGCCCCCTGGTGCTGGAAGGAAGCAGCTCTGGGATAAACCAGGATGGCTTCCAGGTTGTGGGGCTCTCCAGAGGGGGCTGGAGAGGCTAGGCAGCAGCTTTGCTTCCATTCTTTTCCAGGAGGTGAGTGCTGTGCCTGCTGAACTTCCCGGGACCCGCCAGCCATGCCAGGGATTGTCGTGTTCCGCCGGCGCTGGTCTGTGGGCAGCGATGACCTGGTTCTGCCAGCCGTCTTCCTCTTCCTTCTTCACACCACCTGGTAAGTGAGAAGGGCACAAGGATGCTTGGAATTCACCCAGGAATTCTTCTGGCTATTCCTGGCACGTCTGGAAATTCTCCCTGCGCTTCTGCACAGGGCCAGAAAGTTTGGTTGGGGCATTCCTGATGAACACCAACATTTTTCCAGCTTCTGTTTTCATGGCTTAACTCTGTTCCAAGTTCTAGCCTAGTTCCAAAGAGGCTGACCAGAGCTTCTTGTTATCCTCCTGTGCTACGCAAGATTCTCCACTAGAATTTAGGGCCATGTTTCTGTACAGAAGCTCAGGACAAACAAGCATGGAATCCTGGAATGATTTGGGTTGGAAGAGGCCTTAAAGACCATCCAATTCTATCCCCCTGCCGTGGGCAGGGATGGCTCCCACTAGGTTGCTCCAAGCCCCATCCAACTTGGCCTTGAACACTTCCAAGGGATGTGGCAGCCACAGCTTCTCTGCAGTGGCAAATCCCATGGGATAATGTGTCATGGATGAAATGGCTTCTGGATGGCTTGTGGGGATTTGGGGCCCAAATAAAGATTAATGTAAGGAACTGTGGGACACTGAGGAAGGAAGCAGCTGTGGGATATTCCATGGTTTCCCTTGGCTTTCCCGCCCGGCAGGTTTGTGATTCTCTCGGTGGTGCTCTTCGGGCTGGTGTACAATCCCAACGAGACGTGCTCCCTGAACCTGGTGGACCACGGCCGGGGCTACCTGGGAATCCTGCTGAGCTGCATGATCGCCGAGCTGGCCATCATCTGGCTCAGCATGCGCGGGAGCATCCTGTACACGGAGCCGCGGGATTCCATGCAGTACGTCCTCTATGTCCGACTGGGTAAGCGGCCGGAGCCTCCGCGCTTCTGTGTGCTCTTCCCTGCAGCCTCCTCTCCCTGCCGGGTGCGGCTCCTCTGGCACGGCCAGATGGCTGCCAGGATGTGCCGTGCATCCCGATGAATCCATAGGCTGCGCCTTGTCACGGCTGTCAGACTGGCAGGCGGTGTCCCAAATAGCCTCCTTTTCCACTCATGGAGTCTGCTCCCCTTCTGTCTCTCTTTTCCCCCCTATGTTTTCCAAGGATAGAGGCATAAATCCCAAAGGTTCTGACCCCGAGGTGTTGCCTCTTGGCTCACCTGATCCATCCCTCCAGGCACTGGGAGGAACATAGGTTTTCCTCCTTCTCACTTCGTTTTTCTTCCTATAAGCAATTCCTGTCTTGCTCCCTCTCCAAGAACTAGAGCAGGGGGAATTATTCCTTGATCCCTCATTCCCTTTTAGCTTGTTTCCCCTGGATTCTGTTGCCTTTCAGGTACAGAAATTTAGTCAGATTTTTCTGTGCCAAATGAAGGTTTTAAGAGAAAAATCTTTGGAGATGCAGAGCCAAGCCCATTCCAAACAAATCATCCTGTGGGTTTGCATCCCTGCTTTTTGCGTGTTGTTTTCCTGCAGAATCCACTAAAATAAGGATAACCTTGCTTGAAAGCTCAGTCTGGAAGACTTGGAATGCTCAGTGCAAGTCATTAACGCAAACAGCAAACAAATCTCCCTCTCCAGCTTCCCAGCCAGTCTCCCTAGGGAAGCATGGAGAGCCTGGCAGTTTGTATTAAAACCAGACTAAGTGGGGCAGAGGAGGTAGGGAGAATCCAAAGAAAGGTTCTCCTGCCCCCCAAAACATCCCTTCTTCTTCTGTAAACTCTCTGTGTGCTCAGGAGTGGGATTTCCTCTGGATTTTGGGTCTTGTATTCCCTTTTCCCTGGGTATTTTGCTCCTGGTGGTTGATCAGTTGTGCTGATGGAAGTGGGAGCGTGACCAGTGCGTGGGCAAGGTCCATGTGACTATCCCAATTTAAGCATGTGCTGTTTAATGCAGAGGAATTTAGGGAATTAACTCTAATGTGAACCTGGGAATGTCTCATCCGTGCTCCTGCTGCTCCTGTCCTGCAGCAGGCAAAGGGGAGAAGAGCCAAGGGAAGGAAAACCTAACTCAGGCATAAATTGGGTTCATCAGGAACCAGTCCCAGCCCTGATTCCTTGCCCAGGAAAGCTCTGTCTCCTGGAACTGGTCTTTCCAGGTCTGTAGCAAAGCCACTTATGGAAAGATTCCATGCCAGCAGGAGATAAGGAGGGTGAGTGGGATAAGCCAGGCTGGATTTAGTCTCAGCTCCACCAAAATTTAGGCAATCCCAAGCAAGGTATTCACCTTCTCCACACCTGTTTGCCCACATGTCCTTTGGAATTCTGGGGAGAAAGTGGGAGGATGGGCACTTCAGAACAGTTTCCCAGCTTTTTTGTTCCAGGGAAGCACTGTTAATCCCCAGTTTCTAGTTTGCTGTCAGTCACATGCAAAACTGAGGAGCTCCTTAGGCGCTGTCTCCTTGGAACTGTTATGGAAAGGGCTGCAAAGGTGCTGAGAATGTTTGCTAAGCATAGTGAGCAGGATTAATCCTGGATCCACACACTCACGTATTTCGGATCTGTGAGTCAGGCCAGCTGTCTGAGGTAGTTAAGGTTTGGGTCCTGTCATTCCTGCTGCCTCAGGGAGTCTTTCCAGCAGCGTGGGAGGAAGGTCTGGATCTCTGATTCATACCTGTGACACAAACAAGGGCACTGACCCCTCCACGATCCCATTTTTTTGGAGTAATTTGGAACATGTCGCACTTTAGGTTCGTCTCTTTACACATCCCCTTCCAAGGTGTTTTTATACCTATTCCTTGTGAGAAAATGGAGAGAGGAGCTCATCCTTAGGGAAAAGGCTGCTGTCATCCATGCTGTTCCCATTTTTTCCAGCGATCCTGGTGATTGAGTTCGTGTACGCCATCGTGGGCATCGTGTGGCTGACACAGTACTACACCTCCTGCAACGACATCACAGCCAAGAGTGTCACCCTGGGTACGGAGCTGGAATGTGGCCTGGGAGCATTCCGACCAATTGGCGGGCATCCTTCATTCCTGCCTGTGCCGATTGACTCTGGGAAGTGGATGGGAGCTGTCAATGTGGGGCTTGTTTTCCTGTTTATTGCTCGGAACAGTCGTTCCATTCATCCGCCTGTGCTGCCGGCGCTCAGGCAGGGATCCGTGTTCCCAGGGAAGGGCAGTCTGTAAATTCCCCTTTTTCCCTTCAGAATGGTTTTACTGTTTTCCTGGAAGCCTTTCCCAGTCTCCTGGTGGGGATGATGTTAATGGTGCAGTCCCAGATACTCAGGGAGCATTTAATGGCCCCATAAAACAGCCAGCACACTCATCCAGCTGTGGCTTAAAAGCCTTTCCAGAGGATTTCCTTTTTCTGCGGGAGTTTGGGGTAGGAAGTAAAGGCCGGAGCACGTGACTCCTGGTTTTTTTTTCAGGAATGGTGGTGTGCAACTGGGTGGTGATCCTGAGTGTGTGCATCACTGTGCTGTGTGTCTTTGATCCCACGGGACGCACCTTCGTCAAGCTCCGTGCCACCAAACGCCGGCAGCGCAACCTAAGGACCTACAACCTCAGGTAAGGCAGCATTCCGTGGGATCCCAGAATTCCAGGGTGCCTTGGGTGCAAGGGACCTTAAAGATCATTGAATTCCAACCCCCTGTCATGTCCAGGGGTGCTTTTCACTAGACAAGGTAGCTCCAGCCTGGCTTTGGACGCTTTCAGGTATGGGGCATCCGCAGCTTCTCTGGGAAATCTGTTCCAGGGCCTCACCACCCTCACAGGGAAGCATCACTTCCCAATATCCCATCTGTCCCTACCCTCTCTCTGTCAGTGGGAAGCCATTTCTTGTTGTCCTGTCCCGCCAGCCCCTTGTTCAAAGTCCCTCTCCAGCTCTCTTGGATCCACTTTAGGCACTATAAGATCTCTCCGGAGCCTTCTGTTGTCCAGGCTGAACATTCCCAGCTCTCCCAGCCTGTCTTCACAGCAGACTGAATTTCCCTTCTCTCCAAGGACACAAAGATTTAAGGGAAGAACCAGTGGAGGGTTTCAGGGTTACCAATGCTGTGTCCTCATTGCTGCAGGCACCCAAAATTCTCCTCAAGCCAGGGAATTCCAGGATGGTTTGGGCTGGAAGGGATCTTAAAGCCCTTTAAGCCATGGGCAGGGACACTTTCCACTATACCAGGGCTGTCCTGGAATGGGGCAACCATAGCTTCTCAGAGCAACGTTTCTGGAAGGCTGTCCTGCTTTTTTGGGATCTTGCCCTTCTCCTTGCCTTGCTGCAGGGACCATTCTGCTCCACTGAAGGGGATTTTGGGAGGATGCAGCTCCCTGTCAGGTGCTGTGTGTGGGCACCTGCATCCAAAGGAGGCAAAGCCATGCAGAATCCAGCTGGATTCTGTCTTAATGACTGGATTTGTGGATCCTCATGGACCGTGCTGACCACAACAACCTGTTTGTCCGTATCCCATAGCAGCGTTTTCCATGGAAACAGTGAGCACGTACTTAAATTTTCCTTACTTCGAGGCAGCATCTCCTTCCAAATCCCCTTTCTTCCTTTATTTTCCTCTCCAAAATCCAACCTTTTGCCCTGAGGTTTCTCCTATTTAGTCTTGGCCAAGGAACAATTCCATTTGTGTTGGCAGTTGGATCTTTTAATTAAGAGTTGATTCCATCTTAGAGCTCCCCAGATGGGGAGAGAAAAAGCTTTTTTTCACCAAGCAAAGCTTTTTCTGAAGGATTTTTTCCAGTAGGGGACAACACAAACAGGCTTTGTTTCCTTTGATATGTGACTGTCCTTGAGGAATGTGGCTTTGGAGGGCATCGGGATCCAAGGGATAAAAAATGAGGCTTTCAAAAACCACTCTGTACATTTCCCATTTTTCATTTGGTTTGTCTATTTTCTGTATTCCAATGACTTGGAATGAGGTCCCTTTTGAGGGAAAACTGGGCTTTTCTAAGGATAGTGCATCAAGTTCTGTGGGAAGGAGCCTGGGTTTTTTTGTGGAATGCCAGATATTCCTTCTGACCTTTCCAATGTGTTACAGTGGCCTGGAATATTTGGAATTGGTGCCTAGCATGGTGATTGCTGCTTGGAATCAGGACATTCTCAGGAACATAAGAAGCATGATATTGTGGATGTAGTACTGCATCCAAGGAAAAAAATTCTTCCCTGCGAGAGTGGTGAGGCACTGGAATGGTTTTCCCAGAGCAGCTGTGGCTACTCCATCCCTGGAAATGTCCAAGGCTGGATGGGGCTTGGAGCAATCTGGGACAGTGGGAGCTGTCCCTGCCCATGGCAGGGGCTGAGACTGGATGAGCTTTGTGGTCCCTTCCATCCCAAACCATTTCAGAATTCTGTGATGATTTTTCCAAAGCAAATCTGAGCTCCACAGCTTGCACAAGTAAATTCAAACCAACCTCAAAATTCTCTCCTCTTGGGGAATTTTGAGATCCAGAAAGCTGAGTGAAGGCCTTTCTCCCTTGGCTGGGTTTTTCCCTCCAGGCCTGCAGCATTTATGGAGAGCTTGTTCCTGCTGTTCATGGATTTTCCCTCTGGAAAGGGAATGTTAACAGCTGTTAACAAGCAAACGCTGTGGGCTATGATGTGAAAAACAAACATCAAATGTGACTGTTCACTGCTCAAACAATTGTTTCCAAAGGATACATTCCCAACTTCTCCCTCTTGCTGAAAGAAATCCTTTCCAAGGAATAGATGAGGAAGTTCTCTGCCTGGCTGGATTGTGTCCCATGGTGGTTTTCCTTTCCCAGTGGCATCGTGGTGTATGTGGGCTGGGAAGAAGAAACAACCCGATAAAAAGGATGGGCTCGCTGTGCCAAGGCTTTTCCAAGGAGCTTCTGAGCTCCTACTGAATGTGTGGAAGTTAAGAAAAAAGAATTTGGGAAAAGGTGGTGGGAAAACAGCTCAGAGTACACTTGGTTGTTGAACCCCACCGGGGAAATTCTGGAGTTCTTTGGAATCTGGGGAAGCAAAGCCCTGCTGCCACTCATATTCCCATTCCCCTTCTGAAGGGTTATGGAGAGCTGTTTTCAGATACTCAGGCAGGAGCTGATGGATCCCTGTGGGATCTGCTCCTTCCATTTCAAGCAAATATTCCTTTGCCAGCATCTTTTCATTCCAGGTGCAACCCACTTTCTGGGCTTGGGCTTATCCTGATGGGATACCCTGCCAGAAAATGGAGTGGTGTTTTATTTTGGGTTGCTCTGACCTGCATTAAGTCTGTGTTTCCCTAAAAAAAAGAGGAGCTGTGGACTTTAGGGAGCTTGGCACTCTGACACGGAATCAGTCCCTACTTCTGTGGCAGGGGGTGGAACACAATGGTCCTAAAAGTCCCTTCCAGCCCAAAGCATTCCTTGATTCTGTGATTGGGAAAAGTTGCATGTCTGAAATGCTCAGGGTCTCTTGTGCCATTCCCACTCCCTCACCCTGAGGTAACTTTTTCCTCCTGAGTGGTTGCACATCCTCGCACATGGAGCAGCTGCCAAATTGCAACAGGAACTTCATTCCATGCATCCCCTTCAGGCAGGATACCAGGTATCCAAACACAGTGCTCGATCCTGTGGATTCACACTTCTCTGGAGCATATCCCAGGGAATGGAGCTGGGGAAGGGAATGGAGCTGGGGAAGGAGCTGGAGCACCAGGGGCGGCTGAGGGAACTGAAGGGGCTCAGCCTAGGGAAAAGGAGGATTGAGGGAACCTTATCCCATTTTTCCAGGGATAGCACAGGCTGTGCCACTCCATATTGGATCCTACATCATGTTCTGCCTCTCCTCACATTCCTGCTCTCCCCTTTATTCCCAGACACCGCCTGGAAGAGGGACAAGCCAGCAGCTGGACACGCAGGCTCAAAGTGTTCCTTTGCTGCACACGGACAAAGGACTCCCAGTCGGTGGGTACCACAAATCTCCTGTTGGGAATCAAAATACCAGTGGGAGAAATCCCTGTTTTCCCTCAGGTTAGGATCACATTTGGCAGCACTTCCTGGGCAGCCCCCATTTCCCTTTATCAGCCCCTTCCTGAGCACTTTTTCCTGTTACTTCCATCAGTCTCACACCCTTAAGGAGGAGAATTTGGAAATGGGAAAACAAAAACCTGGAAGAATCACCAAAATACTTCTGGATCTCCTGACAATCAAAAACTGTCTAATCCATAGAGCCACGTGAAGATCACTGGGAATTTTCATGTGCTGCCATTGGGACTTTCCCTTGCTTTTCTCTAGCAGGGAAGGGTAAAGGCCTTGAAATTCCTTCCCCAAAAGTTATCATTCCATTCTCCTTAGAATCACTGGGAGCAGGTTTGTGCCTGAGGGTGGGATTCACCAGCATTCCTGAGGACCTGCTGGAGAGGCAACTCCAACTTTGGTGCTAGAAAATTTTGCTTTTGATTTAACTAATTTGGTTATAATTCTAAGGATTTGAGGACTCCTGAAGGAGCCAGCAGAACCAGGGAATTGTTCCCAAAGGGAGGAGAAAGTCATAAAAATCAGGAGATTTGTGTACTTGCAGACACTGAGCTCTGAATTAGTTACAACCTCTCAGGGAAAAAGCTGGGATTTATCAAGGACATTCCAACAAAACCAGCAGTGGCCAAAAAATCCGCCCAGACGTTTAACTCCAGTTAGAAGGGCACAGAAAATGACAGGGAAAACACCAAGGGACCGACCACAGCCGCCATGTCCTCACTAAATATAGCCCAGAGTTCGTGCTCCAAAAGGATGCAGCGGGAAAAGGAGCACATTGGAAGGGATGTGAACGTGGAGAGGAAGAGAAATGAGACTTGGGATTGAAAGCTCCAAAGGGAAAGTGGAAAAATAAAGGAGAGTCAGGTGAACGTTTGTTGTTCCCAGGTGATGAATTGGATTAACAGCACTTCTTAGGGAGTGCTGTGGAATTATCCACAGGTGCAGCTTCCAGAGTGTGGAAGGCTTCAGGAATTGTCACAGCCCTTGTGCAAAAATCCAGCACTGTGTCCCGGAACGCTGCCCCTCCCAGGATCCCTTTCCCTGGCTGAAATGCCACCATGTTCCTTGGAAATGTCCTTCTGGGAAGTTCAAGCCCAGGCCTGCCAGCTCCCAGCTTATTTGTTGGGGAAATCCATCTGGAAAACTGAGACCAAGGGAGCTTTGTGCCCTGGCACCTCCCACAGCAGCTTTTCCTTTCTCCAGAGCAGAGACACTTCCCTTCTCCCTGAGAGCACATCCAGGTCACCTTGCCCAGGTGCTGGAGACACCTGTCCTGAGGGCACAGCATGGATGCTGCATCCTGGGAGAGGGAGCCCTTACAGGCACCTGAATGCCCTGAACAACTCCCATTTTATTCAGTATTGCAAAGTATTCCAAATATTTCAAGTTCTTTTTAGCACACTTTCCTTTCTGCAGTGACTGTTTCTCTTTTTTTTTTTTAAGCTTGGAATAAAAGTGGATTCCAAATGCCTCACATTCCTCGTGCTGTTGAATTTCCACTTTACATCCAGCTTTTGAGCAATTTCCAGCCTCTTTTCTCTGCAGGAGCAAGCCCTGATGTTGTGTCCTGGCATGGCAGCGAGTGGAATGAATGAGCACGTAATGGATCAGAAATGAATCCATTGCTGCCTATCCCAGACCCCATGGAAAAAAAAAATTGTAGCAGCAGAAGATCGTTGTCCTCTGGGCTGGAAAAGTGTTTTATGGGATGGACATGGCTTTGGGGAAAGGATCTGGGGTGAAGTCTGAAGCCTCAGAGCCTTCAGGGTTTATAGCAGAGCACTCCAGGTGGACAAACAGGAATAGTGTCAGGTGTTCCCACAGAAAGCTGTTCCTTTGGAGCGGAAAATATGCTTTGAACTTCCATCAGGGCCTTTTTTTGTCACAGCATGCAGGGCTGTAGCTGCCACTTTGGATTAATGGGTGTTTGTCCTGTTTCCTTTGGAGGTTCTTGGCGTTTCTTGTGAGCTCACAGGAGCCATGCTAGGATTGATGAGGTCAGGTTTTCAAGGATACTGCGGTTGGAATGCCGTTGGCTCTCCAAAGGCACTGCTGGCACAGAGAGTTGGCACCTGGAGCCCCAGTTCTTAATGGGGATTTAACTGGCTTTTGTAGGGAAATGAAAAATGACAGAAAGTCATCCCACACGCCAGGAGTTTGGCAGGGATAAAAGGATGTAGGTCATTCCTGCAGGGAAGAGAAGGGATTTACTGTCTTGATGGTCAAAGAAGGGAGAGGAGAAATCCCGTTCTGGAGTGCTCAGGGTTTCCACAACACTCCAGACTTGTGGGTTTTGATGCTGGATAAAGGATACTATGAAAACACAGGATAAAGGTTCAGGTAAGGCTGTGATCATTCTTGTAGGAAAAGGTTTGGATGGCAGGAGTCAAATATGGACCATTGGTGGGTACAGTTCCACATACTGCTCCAGCCTCTGAATCATCCTTGTCTTTAGGCTGGAGTAATGACAGGTCAGCACTGACCCACATTCCAGCTCCTCTCCAGCCTCCCAAAATATTCTCCTGTAAGGTCTTGTGGGTTTTGTTTTCCTGTAGCATAGAGCAAAAAGTGGGAAAAGGACATTTCTCTTCAAAATATCTTTGTCCCTCTGCTCCAGGGCTTTGCTTGAGCCTCTCAGGTCACTTCCATTTCTGTCCCTCCTTTTTTGGGTTTGGTCACCTTAATTCCTGGGAATTCTGCATTCATTATCTCAGTTTTTATTTCTCATGTGTTTTGCTTGAGTGTCATCCAAAATAAACCTGGAAAAGCCTGAAATTATGGGCAAAAGGATCCCAGGTCTGGCATAAATTTGGGGAAGTTAAATTTGAGCAGAAAGATCCCAGGTGTGGAATAAGTACAGGCAAGTTAAATGTGGGCAAAAGGGTCTCAGACCTGGGGTAAATCTGGGAAAAGGTTCCCAGATTTGGGTCAAGTTTGGGCAACAGGATCTCAGGTCTGGGATAAATATGGGAAAAAGGATCCCAGGGCAAAGTTAGAGTTGAAGAGACTCTTAAATAGGACAAAATTAGTGGTTTATCCTCATGGAATGGCCTTTATTCTGCTTTAGAGGAGAAAGGATGACTCCGAGGTAGCCCTGGATTGGGATTTGCTTGGTTTTCATCCCGTTTTCTCTGTTTTGTTTAACAGAGAGAGCCAAAACCATTCCCTTTCCCTCCCTGTGTCCTGTGTGAGCTGTTTGGATGTCGAGGTGCCCACACACAGCACAAATCCAGCCCCCGAGTGGGACTGTGGAAAACAAACAAGACACAATAATCATGTGATTAGTCCAGATCTGGCATTCCCTGCAGGAATCTTGTGGCTGTTTCGGAGGCTGAGCTCCAGAAACGAGTCCAGTTCTCACTTTGTGTCCTGTTTTGAGGCTTCCCACACCCAAACCCTTCCTCCTCCTCCTCCAACCTCTCTCTCCCTGGATTTTGCAGGACGCCTACTCCGAGATCGCCTACCTTTTTGCGGAATTTTTCCGGGACCTGGACATCGTCCCCTCTGACATCATCGCGGGGCTGGTTCTCCTGCGGCAGCGGCAGCGGGCCAAGCGCAACGCCGTGCTGGATGAGGTGGGAAAACCTGGGAATCTCTTCCCAGCTGCTCTGGGATTCCCTGGGAAACAGCTGCCTGGCTCTGCCCACCTCATTTTTGGGCTGTTCTCACTCGCTGAGGTGGGAAAGAAAAATAATGGCGACTTCAGCAGCTTTCCCTGAGTTTTTCCATGTCAAAGGGCTCAGCTGGTGCTGAGTCAAGTCTGGAATCTGGGTTGATCCTCTCCAGGCAGGTGATACAGGAGGAGCTCTTGATCCCAAAAGGGCCTCCAAGGGGGTTGTAGGTACTTGGAAATGAATGGGAAGATTATTCCCACTGTACAAAGGTATGGAGAAGACTCCAGCAATCTGCAGGGGGAAAAATTCCTAAATTTCCAAGCCGCTATTGAGGTTTGCATATTGTCAAGCCAGTAGGAAATGGATTTATTTTATTGGAGTTTTTCCCTTGATTTGGGATTTGGGAAGAATTCCCAGTTTTCCAAGCTGCTGCTGAGGTTTGCAGATTGTTAGCCCAGTAGGAAATTGATTTATTTTAATGATTTTTTTCCCCCCTTGAATTGTTATTCAAATCAGGCAGGAATAAAACCATTGGAAGTATTTGAGGGGCCTGGTTGGGATATTTGAGAGTAGGTTTTTATCTTGCTGTCACACAGAGGAATTTTTCTGTGTATTTGTGACTTCCAGGCAAACAATGACATTTTAGCTTTCCTGTCTGGAATGCCAGTGACCAGGAACACCAAATATCTGGATCTGAAGAATGCGGTAAGTCCCTGGGATGTGGGATCCTCCAATCCCACCTGTGATCCTTGTTTTCTTTTCCTCACTGGCTTCTCTTATGCCTTTCTGCCCCCACTTTGAAATAATCCAAGAAATTCCATAAGAATGGAATAAAACTTGATCTCTGCAGGCTTGATATTGATGAAACTTGATCTCTGGAGGCAGGTGATATTGCTGCAAGAGAGTCAGAACCGTTATTCCTGATTTTTTCCAGATTTTGATTCATCCCTGATTTTGGTTTATCCCTAATTTATCTCTGATTTAGATTTGTCTGACTTATCCCTAATTTTGATTTATCCCCGATTTTGATTTTCCTGCCAAATTTCCACATCCTCATTATCCCCCCGCCGTTTTCCTCTTCAGCTCTTCCTCTGATTTACCTCTGATTTCTCCCTGATGTTTCCCTGATTTTCCCCTCTGATTATCCTGCTGTGTTTAACTCCAACCCCCGATCCAGCTCTCTGGAATAAGTGAGCTTTTATAGGATGCAACTGTTTCACATGACCCTAAATTGGCTTTGCAGCCCTCTCCAGGCATCCTCTGGTCTGCTGGAAAGGGGTATTTAGGGAGCTCATTTCCAAATCTGCAGGAAGCAGCTTCCTTGGCAGCATGTTGGGATACCCAGAGAATTCCTCAGGAAATCAGGCAGAGGAATCTTTGGGAGGGGGTGGCTCTTGCCTGGCACCCTCACCTCGCTCTCCTCAGTCACTGCTGGGAAATGGGGCTGGCACTTGGCACGTGCCTAACTATGGAAAAAGGGAATGGGGAGGAAATTCCAAGAGATTCCAGGCTCAGGGAGTCCCGTGTCTTCCAGCAAGAGATGCAGCGGTACCGGGAGGTGTGTTACTACATGCTCTTCGCCTTGGCTGCCTATGGATGGCCCATTTACCTCATGAGGAAGCCCACATGTGGACTCTGCCGCCTGGCCAGATCCTGCTCGTGAGTGCCCACCCTCATCCCTTTTTTCCTGCCTGGTTTTCCCATAGCCTTTGTTTTCCCCCATATTTATTTCATCCTCTTGCTGCTTCCTCCCTGCTCAATTTCTTTTCTGCCTTTTTCTCCTTGTGTTTTTTTCTTTCCATCTCTCTGGACTTCATATTCCAAAGGCTTTCTGAATTCCTTCCAGTTCCTGTAGATAAACCAGCCTGTCCTCTGCTCCATCCTCTCTGGAGCATAGAACAGCCAGCAGAGACAACTCACCTGGCACAACACCAAGTCCAAAAAGAGCTTCTTGGAGCTCAAAAATCAGGGAGTTGACATTTGGGTCCTGATTAAAAGACCTCCAAGATTTGCCTGGCTTGGGCTGTGCTCCCTCAGATTAATTGGATTTTTCCAGCTCAGAATTTTTGCCCCGGTGGAAGGGTTTGTTTCCAGCTGCCAGAATTCTGTCACTGGATTCAATTTGGGGATGAGTTTTTGGCACTTCCTGGGCTATTGGGAGGAATGTGATTCCTTGGGAATACTTTCATTTGTGAGAGATAAAGCAGGAAAATCAACCTGAGCTTCTCTTTTTATTTTGGGATGATTCTAAACCCATTTTTTACCTATAAATAAACCTGGAGCTCAGTCAGTGTTGGCTTTTCCACATTGAAGAACTGGAAAACTGTGCTTCCAAGGACAGTATCCTTTGAGGAGCCATCCCACCCCACAATGCTGAGATTCCTTGGGGACTGGCTGCATTGTAGCTCTCTCTGGTGCTCAAAAGGAAAACTGCACCTGGTCCCAGATTTTGAGGCTGTTCCATGGTTTTATCCTTCACTTGGCACTCGCTGCCACTGGGACGAGGTTTGGAGGGTCCGCCTTTCCCTTTCCTCTAGGAATGGCACTTTAAATCCAGCCTTTTTCCCTCAAAGCCGTGCTTCCTCCAGCAGATGTTGCTGCCTGTGCCCGTCGCGCCCACGCTACGCGCCCGGCGTCACCATCGAGGAGGACAATTGCTGTGGCTGCAACGCCATCGCCATCCGGCGCCACTTCCTGGACGAGAACATGACCTCCGTGGACATCGTCTACACTTCCTGCCACGATGCTGTAAGGAGAATCCCAGACCCCCTTCCCAAGGGGATTTACCCGCTTCTGCCTGCAGTGGGACAAAGAAGGGAAATGAAGCCTTTTTCTCTTCCATTTCCATCAAAAAATTATGTTATTTGGACACAAATCCTGTCACGCACTCTGTCTCCTTTTCCCAAAGGATGATCCAACAGGAATGTCTCTCCTGATCTCTTGCAGGTTTATGAAACCCCTTTCTATGTGGCTGTGGACCATGACAAGAAGAAGGTGGTCATCAGCATCCGGGGAACTCTGTCCCCAAAAGTAAGTGGGATATGCAGTGGCCTCTCTGGTGGATATTCCAGAGAGTTGGAGCCCTTCCCAGTTTGGAATCCTGATGTGGATTTGACTCACCTGAAGCAAGCTTTTCTTCCAGGATGCCCTGACGGATCTGACGGGGGACGCAGAGCGCCTGCCGGTTGAGGGACACCATGGAACGTGGCTGGGACACAAGGTGGGGAAAATAAAGGGATAACGATCCCAAACCAACCCAAAACCAAACAAAACCCCATGGATTTTTTTTAATTATTTCACTTTTTAATTATAAACCCCCAAATGGTCTTAATTACTTGAAAAAGAAGTTACAGAAAGGGCTTTGAGGTGTTAAATAATTAGTGGGAACAGTTAAAATCACTGGGCGTGTAATTAAAAACTCTGTACAATTAGAGAACTCCAAATTCAGGAAGGCATCGTGGAGACCCACAATGAAATTCCTGGAGCCACTCAAATTACTATTTCTTCCAACGACCTTTAAGGAATTTTCAATCAAAGCCTGAGAATGTGCTTAAAATTCTGCTGTGAAGGGAATGTCCTCAAAGGATACTGGCAGGACTTGGATCCCTGAAATTAGATGGGTGCTCTGTGTCTGTGAGCAGCTCTTGGCTGGCTAAATCCATTTATTCCAGAGCTGACCTCTGCCCCTGTCTGGCAAAGGAACGACGTGCTGAGTTTTTAAGATGATCAGGAATTTGGCAGCTTCCAAAGCTGCAGTGCCAAGTTGGGAAAGGAAAATCCAGAGTGAAGGTTGGAAGGAACGGAGCAGTTGCTGGAAGTGCTGCTGGGGGGAATGAGGTGTTGCTCAAGGTGGGATGTGGAGCTTGGAAGTCCTTGGAAGCCATGAGTTGGGAACTCCAGCTTGCCTCATGGTGTCCTGCTGGAATGCCAAACCTCTTCCCTCTGCTTTAGGAAATAGAATAATGGAATCCTGGGATGATTTGGGTGGGAAGGGACATGAAAAAGCCAGTTCCAATCCCTGCCAAGGGCTGGGACACCTTGGAGGATGGCTCTTAGAGCAACCTGGATTAGTGGGAAGGTGTCCCTGCTCTTGGGACTGGGATGGGTTTTTAGGTCCCTTCCAATCCAAACCACTCCAGAATTCCATGATTCAATGAAATTCCAGGAATAGATCCTTGCAGAAATTGGCTTTGCTTTTGATCTTTATATGAAAATATTCATATGGCGACTTCCATGAAACATTATCAGTTTATTCCCTTTGTTCCAGACAGAGCTTTTATTTGTCCTTTGTGTTATTTCTTTTTTGGGATTGCTGCCAGGAGAGAAATATTCACTTTCTCTGGAATTATTATCAATATTAATCTGCAGACAATAATGTGCTGTTGATTCCCGAGGGAAAACTAAGAAAGATAATGGAATTTTAAATGCATTTTTAATGTCCAGGAGTCAAATTTAATATCCAAACAAATCCAATGTCTCACTTACACATTTAATTTGGAAACAAGGACTTGGCTATGTGGGAGCTTTCCCAGGATTTGTTTGATTTGGGGTGTTCTCCTGCTGATTCTGTCCCACCCATCCCCAGGGGTGTCTGTCAGCCATCCTAAAATTCCAAGTCTTGGTGTTTACATGAAATTTTTTATCACTCCACAGCTCCAATGTCACAATTAAAAAAAATATTTGTTGGGGCTCTGAGCTATTCTGGATCAAAAAATAGAGCTGGAACTGAAGTTTAGGGATTAGAATGCCAATAACAAAAAGGAATTATAACTCAGAGAAGAATCCAACTTCACTATTTTTGCAATAAAGTCCACTGATTTTATAACAAAATTGATTTTAAAAATAATCCTCAGCCAAAGGGGTGAATCCAGATTTAATTGTTGAACTCCCAGGACAAAACTAATGAAAATAGGATGTTACAGAGCTTTGTTTCCTGGTGTCGAGCCAACCAGAAGGACAAGGAGCTGCTGGAAAATCCTGGAAGCTCAGCCATGATCCCAATAATGAGAATTTCCAACATTTTTCTCTCATAAATAGACCCTTCTGAGGGTTTTCCCTCAAAATCTCAAATATTCCAGAGCAGTTTTGTGCCTTTGGGATACAAAACAATGCAGAATATTTCCATTCCCTTTCTCTAAATCCTTGATCCATTCAGTTATTTACATGTGAACTTACAAAATTAAGCCCAAATAGTTATATTAACTTGAAATTGGATCTGTTTCCCAGAGAATTTACAGATGCTATATCCCTGGAAGTGTCCAAGACCAGATTAGATAGGGCTCAGAGCTACCTGGGTTAATGGAATGTGTCCCTGTCCATGGAATGGGATGATCCTTAAGGTCCCTTTCAACCCAAACCAGGATTCCATGAAGTTTAGGGAATTTTTCCAATGGTGAATCTAAATGGAAGTTAACAGTCTCATTTCATAATAATTAAAATCCCTGTCTCCATTAGGATATAATTACCAAAAACACGTCCCAAAGGCTGACTAACATCCCAGCAGTGACATCACTGTGGATTTGGGTCACGATCTCTAAAAATAGAATCCCAAATTCGCAGTGGGAATTTAGATCAGTGGCCTGCTGCTCACTTCTGATTAGGATTGGGAGTGGAGACTCTTCTGGAAGCTGGGGAGCTGGGATGAGGCACAACCACTGTGGTGCTTTTTGGTGGTGGCAGCATCCCATTTAGCTCATTTCCATGGAGGGGGTCTCCTCTGTCCTGCTTCCCCTCTTTGGTATCCAGATTGGGATCAAAGACATTTCGGATACTGAGGACTTGGAAAATTCCATGTTTCTTTGCTTTATTTTCCTCACTGGCTTCTCTTACGCCTTTCTGCCCCTCTTTGAAACAACCCAAGAAACTGTACTATTTCTTTGTTTTTTATTTATTTATTTACTCCATAAGAATGGAGTAAAACTTGATCTCTGGAGGCTTGATGAAGTGATATTGATGCAAGAGAGTCAGCACTGTTATCCCTGACTTATTCCTGATTTATCCCCGATTTAGATTTTCCCACCAAATTTCCACCGACTAATTTTCCCCCATTTTCCCCCTCAGCTCTTCCTCTGATTTACCTCTGATTTCTCCCTGATGTTTCCCTGATTTTCCCCTCTGATTATCCTGCTGTCTTTAACTCCAACCCCCAGCCCAGGTCTCCAGGATAACTGAGGTTATATATATTATTATTTCTATTTTTTATTTTGTTTTTGGAGCCAGGAATCCTTTTATATCTCTGAGATGGAGAGTGAGCCCCCAATGACATTCCCATTGTACTCACACCATTTTAAGACAGGGATTTAAAGGAGAGCAGCCAAGGAGATGATTTTCCCCATTTCCCCCATTTTTTGGAGTTCAGGCTCACTTCCCACTGAGTTAAACTGTAGCATCATCAGGAATTTATGCAACAAACCAAATTCCAGTTGCTTGTTTATAACTGTGCTTGGAATTGTATCAACTACGTTTGGAATCACCACACAGATAGACAGATAAACACTCCTCAGCAGAGAGGAGGAATGTTTAAACCCAGATATGATCTTTCCCATCTTTTCCCATCAGCACTCCTTGACTTCTGGGGAATAAAAACTTTTAATAATTTGGGATTAATATCCTCTGACAGCCAAATTCCCTTAATATTGATGGCTTGAGAAGGCAGGAACTAATTCCTAGTGCAGCCACTTTTCCTTTGGTGTTTGAATCATTATCTCTATTAGAATGATTCATGCTTTTATTCCCAGATTTAAATGGAAAACTACATCCCAGATTTACCTGGAATAGGATAATTTGGCTTTAAAACCACCAATATTTAGAATATCCAAGTCTATTTCTCTGTTTTGCCCCAAGTCCCTTGGCCTGAAGTACCAAATCCACAATCCTGTGTTTAAATTAATTGGATTTGGGGTAGTTTTCCCTCTAAAAGCCCAGGAGTAGGCCCGTGGAGTGTTCCTTAATTAAGAACTGTCTTTACTCCTTAAACACCAAAACTTTGGAAATGCAGAGGGGAATCAGTTCTCCCTCCATCCTGATCCATGCTGAGGGACATTCCAGAGCTTCCTCACCTTCTGTCTGCTGGATATTGAGATCCCATTTACAACCTGCTGTGTGTTCCTGCTTCCCACAGGGAATGGTGCTGTCTGCTGAGTACATCAAGAAGAAGCTGGAGCAGGAGATGGTGCTGTCCCAAGCTTTTGGACGGGATTTGGTGAGTACAAGTTGTCTCTGGACCGAGGATGAGATTTCCATTAAAAACAGGGTTTTAAGGGAATCTCTGTGTCCCTGAGTCTGTTGTATTAATTTCTCAGCTCCTCCTTTAATTCCTGGATTTCCAGCTAGTTACTCATTTCATGGCATGGTTTGGGTTGGAAGGGACCTTAAAGCTCATCGCATTCCAACCCCTGCCATGGGCAGAGTACGTTCCACAAGATCAGGTTGCTCCAAGCCCCATCCAGACTTCCTGCAAGGCTTTTTTATTTTGGAAGCACCAATACTGCAGAGATCCTGATTATTTTCCTTTTTCCTGAGGCAGGAAGTCCCACATGGTGGCAATGAAGGACGGGGAGCATTAAAACCAAATCAGCAGGAACTAAAATCTCATTCTTATGGAGATTTTCTTTGGAATGCGGTGCTGACTGTCCCTGTGGGCACATTCTTGGTGGCAGGGAGATGTCACAGGACTCAAGGGAGATGTTGGGAAGCAGCTTACCTTGGTCTGTATGTTGGAAATAATTGCTGAAGTGCTGCCTTGGGATATTTGGTGGATGGAGAGAGAGATAAACCAGCATCCAGCTTTTTGGGATGGTAGAAAGGGAAAATGGGTGTTGTTCCTGTTACTCAGGAGGAATATTTCCTGGCTTTAGGTCCATAAGTGCCATCTCAGGTCCCACCAGCCCAGACCTTGTTTCTGACAGTTGCCACGGACAGATATTCCAGAGAAATGTGTCCACTGAGGTTTAGAGACACTTTCTGTGTGGGCTTGGATGTTATCAGGAGGGACAAAAAGCTCCCATCAAATCCTAAATAATTCAAATAGCTAGTGTGCCTTTCCTTTTTCTTCCCACCTTCTTTCTTTCAGGAATGTCCCAGTAGGCCAAATGTAGAATTCATGAAGCGAATTAATTCCATCCTCCAGTGAGGCCCTGGCATGGGTTTCCCAGAAAAGCTGTGTCTGCCCCATCCCTGGAAGTGTTCCAGCATGGGTTGGATGGGGCTTGGAGCAGCCTGGGCTAGTGGAAGGTGTCCCTGCCCATGGTAGGGGGTGGAATGGAATGATCTCTCCCTTCCTTTCCAACCTAAACCATTCCAGGATTCCCTGATGATTCCATGATTCAGAACAAGCAAGGAGCTATTCAGCTGGAATCTGGAGTGCTCATGTATAGAAATACACTCCAAAACTGGTGAAAGGGAGAGAAATGGGAGATAAATTCAATTTCATTTCCAATCTGACCTCGATTCCATGTTGTTTCCATGTTTTTTAGGGAAGAGGAACAAAACACTACGGCCTGATTGTGGTTGGGCATTCCCTTGGCGCTGGCACAGCTGCCATCCTGTCCTTCCTGCTGCGTCCCCAGTATCCATCCCTGAAGTGCTTTGCTTATTCCCCTCCAGGTGGGCTGCTCAGGTAGGTGGTGGGATACACCTGGGATACACTGGATCCTGCTTGTGAGGCTCTAGGGAGCACTGAAATGGACAGGCAGCCTGGAGAATACGAGTGTTTCCTCTGGGATATAGTTTGGTATTCAAGCTAGGATGGCAAATGGCCGCTTTCCCAAATATTCTGGTTTATAAGTGAATTATTCATGGCTCTAAATTTAATGGGAAATGGGTGCAATTTCCTTACTCTCTACCCCCTCCCACTAAACAGATGGAAGTAAGGGAGATACTTGACCAAATGCAGGTGTCTGCAGCAGCTGATCCAGTTGTTTGGGCTCCTTTTCCAAAGAAATTGGAATTGGGATGTGATTTCTGTCATTCTGCAGCCTAAAATTGCTCACAGGGATTGTTCTGGTTTCCCTCTCTTGGCTGTGGGGCAAAACCAGGGAGAGATTAATCATGAATCCTTCCCATTGTAAATGGGAGCAGACCTTCTGGTCATGTCATTCCCAAACAAAACATTGCATTGGATTGCTGGGAAGTGAGGGAAGGTCTTCCTGGTCCTAACAGACACCATGGGGATCCTTGGAATCAGCTATGGATCATGAGAAGCTCCTTGTGGTAGTTCCTGCATCATATTCCAGGAGCAGCCAAGGGTTTTAAACCATCCTGCTGCTGAATCTGGATGCTGGCATTCCTTGTAGTATTCCCAGGTCTTCTGCAGCCACAGAGCTACAGAGGAGGATATTTCAGGAGAGTTGTGCAACCTTCTGCTCCAGACTTCCACTCCTGGATCTCTTGGTAGCTCCTGACTTGTGTCATGCCCGGGATCATCCTGGTCAGTGAGGCAGCCTCTGCCCACGGTAACTGGTTGAGAATATCTCCAGGAAACTCAGAGTGGGAATCTTGATTTCTTTCTTCTTGTCTCAGAAGTCAGGTTGCTGCAGAAATTTGCCATTTGAATTCCCCCAAATATTGGGGTATTTCATCCTACATTGTAGCCTCAGGAGCACGAAATATCTTCTTCCTTGGCTGCCCCACCATTCCCAAACTATTGGAAAATGACTATGACACATTCAGTTCAAGCATTTCCTTTCCCAGCTATATCCAGAATCTTGTGCAAGGAAATGATTGGGCCATAGAATGTGGAGATAAGTCTCTTTCTCCACAAGGCACAAATCCCCAAAGCCTGGAGCAGCTTGGATTGGGGTTTGTGCCCCTGGTTTCCCTGCCACTGAGTAGGGAATGAAACACTGTTTGCTTCTTCTTGCTCCTGTTTCTCTTCCAGTGAGGATGCCATGGAGTATTCCAAGGAGTTTGTGACTGCGGTGGTGCTTGGCAAAGATCTGGTACCCAGGCAAGTGGAGAAGTGTCTGAATTCCTTGATGAATCTCTGCTGTTCTGTCCCAAATCATGTTTCCTGTCTGAAACACTTGGATCATCTCTGTCTCCAGCTTCCTCATTTTCCTATCCTTCTATTGTTCCCTGTGTCACTGTGTTTTTCCTGGACACCTTTGTAGGGGTTTTTATGGGCAAATCCCTCCTGTGTGAAAGAAAAGGGGGAATCTCCTACCTCTGGAATCCTTCCTTGTGGTACCTGGAATATCAGGTGTGCCACCTTCCTGGTTACCTGTGTTATCTTGGCCCTGTCCTGGATGTGCTGCCACCTCATTTGGACCAGTTTGTCCCAAAATCCCTGTTCCACGTCACCTCATCTTCAAACCAGATCATTCTTTGTGCCTTGGCATTCCTCACCTTCCTCACCTCCTGGGATATGTTTTGCTGAGCAGGGATTTGGAACAGGAGCCAGGCAACCTGGGATTTACCTGGATGCCATGATCCTGTCCACCCTGTCATCTGCTCAGTGGTGTCATTCAGCTCCAGGGCACTTTTCCAACTCACCTGTCCTGTGCATCGTCACCTCCCTCCTTCCCTGTTCACTGATCTTATCCTTGTTGGTTGTTGTCCTGGTAATTCCCTGGGGCCTTTCACTCCTGGCTCCTGCTCCTGGGTGATGCCACACCTCTGAATCCATCTGCTCCATGCTGTATCCTTGTAGTGTCCTTTTGAACACAATGTCTTGCTTACTGTGCTCCATATCCTTCTTGTCCTGTTCCCTGCCCAGGTGTTGTGAACACATTTCCCCCTCTTCCATAGCCATAATTTTCTTCTTTTCCAGACTCGCTTCTTCTTTTCCAGAATCACATCTTAATCTCTTCCAGAATCACATCTTCCTCATTTCCATAACCACACCTTTTTTTTCCAGAGTCACATCTTCCTCTTTTCCATGGTCACATCTTCCTCTCTTCCAGGATTGGGCTCTCTCAGCTGGAGGGATTTCGCCGGCAGCTTCTGGATGTTCTCCAAAGAAGCACCAAACCAAAGGTAAGAGGGAGGAACCAACACCTGGAGATGTCTCTGAGCAGGGATGGGGAATTTTAGTGCCAGGAGGGTGGGTTTCCTCCAGGCCTCCTCAGGATCATTATTTAAGGACCCAGAGGAATGATGGAAGAAGCTGGAGAGCCCAGTGGGATCATTCTGGCTCACTTGCTGAGACTTCACCATTACAGATCCCAAATAACTGAGCAGGGAATTTTCTTTCTGAGCCTCTTTTTAAAGTCTGTATTCCAAGTGTGGATTTTCCTGACCAGTTAAAACTGGGAACAAGCTGGAAGGACAACAGCCACTGTGCTTGTCAGAACACAGATGATGCTGTTCCAGGATAAATGGTCTGCTCATGTCTTGGAGATGGGAAATGTGGGAAGTTGTCCCTCCCCAGTCTTTATCATTGCACCAAGATGGGAAAAAAACATAAAATATGAAGATTTTTAGGGATAATACATGATGGAACTTATCTGGAGAGGGTATATAATTGAGAAAGGAAAAGCAACTTTCAGAAACATTTGGATCTTCTCTGTATCCAGCTTCCCTGTTTTCCTGTCCTTGTGTTGTTCTTTATTTATTCCCAGTATCACTGTGTTTTTCCTCGACACCTCTGTTGGTGTTCCACCAACAATTTTTAGGCAAATCCCTCCTGTGTGAAAGAAAACTGAGAATATCCTGCCTTTGGAATTCTTTAAACCTTTCAAGTCTTAGGAGGCAATTCCACTTGATTTTGCTTTTCTCTCCTCAAATCCTCCCTCCTCTCTCTCCCTCTCTCTCTTTGTGGGAACAGTGGCGGATCATTGTGGGGGCTACCAAGTGCATTCCCAAATCCGAGCTTCCCGAGGAGCCAGAGGAGAACTCGGTGACAAGCAACCGGCTCTGGACACATCCCAGTGACCTGACCATCGCCCTGAGTGCCAGCACCCCCCTGTACCCCCCGGGCCGCATCATCCACGTGGTGCACAACCACCCTGCTGAGCAGTGCTGGTGAGTCCTGCAGTTCCTGCTGGAATTCTTGCTGGAAAAGTCTCCCTGACACAAGGAGAAGGGGGTTTTCTTTCCCCCTGTCTCATGAGGACAGTGGTTGTGTTTGTGCTGGTGGAGTTATGGAATGGTTTGGGTTGGAAGGGACTGTGGAGATCATGGGCAGGGATAACTTCCACCAGACCAGGTTGCTCCAAGCCCAGTCCAGCCTGGATTTGAGCACTTCCAGGGATGGGGCAGCCACAGCTTCCCTTGGAAATCCATCCCAATTTCCCAGTCTCACCACCCTCACAGGGAAGAGTTTCTTCCAATATCTAATCTAAACCAGCACGTGGAATGCTGTAATGGCTTGAGTTGAAAGGGACTTAAGGATCATCCACTTCTGGCCCCTGCTGTGGGCAGGGACACTTTCCACCATCCCAGGTTGCTTCAAGCCCATCCAACCTGGCCAGGAACACTTCCAGGGATAGGACAGCCACAGCTTCTCTGGGCAGCCTGTGCCAGGGCCTCTGCACCCTCACAGGGAAGGATTTTTTCCCAATATCCCATCTAAACCCACCCTCTTTCAGCTTAAAGCTACTCCCCCTTTTCCCATTATTCCAGGCCCTTGTCCAAAGTCCTTTCCCTCTTTAGATGATGATTAGCTCATGGATAATCATGTCCCCATAAAGTAGGATTTTGGAGCAATATGTATTTTAACAGTTCCTCCTTGTGTTTTTCCTCTTTTTCTCCCTCTTCATCCTGCTGTTTTCATATGCCAAAACACTGCCTTTCTCTTCCATCCCATTTTCCCTGTTGTCTGGACCCCTTTTCCAGCTGCTGTGAGCAGGAGGATCCCACCTACTTTGCCATCTGGGGGGACAACAAGGCCTTCAACGAGGTGATCATCTCCCCGGCCATGCTGCACGAACACCTCCCCTACGTGGTCATGGAAGGGCTCAACAAGGTGAGGCAGGGAACTGTCATCCCAAAAACCACTGGGACAGGCAGGCTTAGCCTGGGAATGCTGCTGGTTAAATACACCAGGCCGTTTATTTTGGAGAAGAGGAGGAAAGGTGATGCTCCTGGTCAGTCTTGCACAGGGTCTTGGAGTGGAGTGTGATGAGGTGGAATGAAATTCCCACAGTCCCAGAAGCTCCTGTTTCCAAATTTAACATCAGAATAACATGAGGTTGAGTGGTGATGGTTCATTCCAGGAGCTGTCATTAAATTGGAGCCCAGGTGACATCCAGGGATGTGTCAGGATTTATCCATCTAATCCTTTATCTCCCTGTGCTTCCAAAAGGTTCTGGGAAGGAAGAGGCCAATCCAGCTGTTTGAAAGCCTCCAGTCAATCCCTGCTGTTCCTCTACTTTCCTTGCACAGGTCTTGGAGAACTACAACAAGGGGAAAACAGCTCTGCTTTCCGCAGCCAAAGTGATGGTGAGTCCTACGGAAGTGGATCTCACCCCGGAGCTGATATTCCAGAGCCAGCCCTTGCCCAGCTGCCCCTCTGTGCAGATCGGAACTGGAGCCATCCCAGTGGACAGAAGGAACAGCAGTACCAAGTAAGGAGAGATTTTATATGGAATATTGGCTCCAGGTGTGGGTCCTCTTCCTCTTGGAGCATTGTGATCCACGTTTGTGGGAAAGACAGATCCATGGGCCTTTGTGGAAATTAAAGCTTCAGGAAATCTTGAGGAATGTCAGGGGGAAAAATCCCTTGTGTTGCTTAGGAATTTGACTGCAGCAAGGTCAGGAAAAGGTATGGAAGAGACTTCCTTTTTTTCTCCTTATCCAGACAGGTGGGGTTTTCCCAAGGTAAAAAAAAACTTGGAGCCAAGTTCGGTTTGGTTTGGAAGGGATTTAAGGATCACCCAGTTCCAGCCCCTGACATGGATAGGGACACCTTCTACCAGCCCAGGTTGCTCCAAGCCCTGTCCAGCCTGGAACACCATCAGGGATAGTCCACAGCCTCTCTGGACAGGAGAGAAGGATTTAGTGAGCCAGGAAAAAAGAGAGAAGGGCAAGAACTGGAGTTTGCAGAGGGACAATCCATTTGTGATATTTCCAGCTGGGAGGACAGAGCGAGAAGAGATTCTCCGGAATTGTGGATGCCTCTGGTTGGAGGAGCTGTGTGAGGAACCCTCGGATCCTCTAGCTGTTCTGGAATTCTGCAGCCTCGTGTTCTCTGTTTCCCATTGCAGGAGCAAATCCCATTCGGAAATCAGCCTGGAGGGATTCTATGAGACAAAGCCACTTTCTCCTGTGCAGAAGGACCCCGTGGAGCTGCTTCTCCTGGACACTAAGGAACGCCTCTCCGTGGAGCTCCAGGACCGCCGCGCCCCTCTGGCCACCATGGAGAGCCTCTCGGACAACGAATCCATCTACAGCTTCGATTCCCGGCGCTCCTCCGGTTTCCGGAGCATCCGGGGCTCCCCCAGCCTCCATGCGGTCATGGAGAAGGACGAGACGCACTGCTTTTATATAGACCCCGTTATCCCTGAGGAAAACCCTTCCCTCAGCTCCCGGACAGAGCTGCTGGCTGCTGACAGCCTCTCCAAGCATTCCCAGGAGACGCAGCCCCCGGAAAACGTCCTCAACAGCGGTGGCACCACCCCCCAGCGCCGCTGCAGCGCCGAGGGCACCGGGAGCGACGGGGAGCGCACGTCCTCGTCCCCTCGGGAAGAGCCGCCGCTCCACAACGGCCGCCTGGCCGACGTTCCCAGTCCCCAGGTGCTGGAATTTGCAGAGTTCATCGACAGCCTCTTCAACTTGGACAGTAAAAGCAGCTCCTTCCAGGACATTTACTGCATGATGGTGTCGGACAGTTCCAGCGACTTTGCGGAGATGCCCAAATCCGTCAGCGACCAGGAGATCCTGCTGAGGGCGCAGTACGAGCCTAACTTAGTCCCAAAGCCCCCGAGGTTGTTTGCGGGCTCGACGGATCCCTCGTCGGGAATCTCCGTGTCACCCTCCTTCCCCCTTAGCTCATCCGGAGAACTCATGGATATCACTCCCACGGGTGTGAGCAGCCAGGAGTGCCTGGCCACAGACAAAATCCGGACTTCCACCCCCTCCGGACACGTAACCAGCCCTGCCAAGCAGGACGACCTCATGATTTCGGCCCTTTAGTGCAGGGGAAAGGGGTGGAATGATCCCAGTGGGATAATCCATGGAGGCGGCTGTCATCGGGCAGTTGGGATCAGAGGAGACAGCTGGAAAAATCCTTTCTGGGGTGACCCAGTGGTGGTGTCTGGAGGATGGATTGTGCTGGAATCCTGTGCTTGGAGCTGGGAGAAGCTTTGCCCCATGGGGCTTGAGAGGGTCTGAGGCACTAAAGTTCCCTACCTCAGCCTGTCTCATTCCAGAGGCAGATTCCTTGCCCTGGGGCACCTGCTGAGTTTGGGAGTGAGATACCTGGATAGATGGAAGCAGGAGGGAGCCAGGCCAGATCCCTCTCCTCGGGACCGAGCCAGTGGTTTTGGGAAATGAGCGGATTGAGACTTTGGGCCCTGTTGCACTACCACGGATCCGGCCCAAGATCCAATTCGGCACACTTCCATGGGGATTGCTTTTGTAGGACACTCCCGTTTTAAAGCCATTGGGGCTGTATTCCCCCCAAATCCAGTCTCCCCTTCCTGGCCAGGCACAGCAGGAATGGGGCTGGCACCATGGTTTCTCTCCCCCGAGCACTCCTGAGAGGGAAGGACGCTGTTCCCAAGAGCCCAATCACTCTGCATTTGGCAGAAAGTTCTCCTGGATATCACCCCCATCACTCCTCAGTTCCCTGGACCCCTCCAAGCTGGCGACATTCCTGTGGGACTGCCAGGATTCTCATCTCAGAGCTGCATGGATGTGGATGGATCAGCTGCAAAATGTACCTGGCATTATTTTCCAGGCCCCTGTGGAGTCTGGGAGTCTCTCCTGGATCCCTGGGGGTCCTCACACCACCCATATGCAGCATCCGTGGATCAGTGCCAGCCTCTGTCATTGGGAATTCAGGGAAAAGATGGACTTTTCCCCAGTATTGCAATCTCTTGTATGTTTACAGAGCTGCTGAGCTGGTTGGAAGGTATTTATTAAGGAAATAGGGAGACTTTCCCAAAGGAAAATCCATGGTCATCCTCTCCTTCCTGTGCTGTTCCCTCTGGGGACTGAGGGAAGAGAGGATGGGCAGGCAGAATTCCAAGCCCCCTGCTTCCCAAGTGGCTTGGATTTGAGGGTAACCGCCTGCCCCCTCCCCACCTGCACAATTCCATGTAGGAAAGCTTGAGCAAGTTAGGAAAACTACCTGAGCCTCCGGGCCCAGAGGAGCCTGCTCTGCCTCTCCAGGCAGGTTTTCCAATGATGGTAGCAGGAGGAAAACTACCTATTGTAGGAAATGAAACGTTCTTGGGACCTGGAAAAGGCCTTGAATTGCCACAACTCCCCCTCAAAGCTCAGCAGTTACTGATGGCTCTCCCCGGAGCTCCATCCTCCCTCCCTGGAAAAGAAATTCCTGGTTTAACTTCCTTAGAATCCTGTGGTTGCTCCCTTTTCCCCTCCTTAGCAGTGCTATTTCCATTGTGGCAGGATGCTGTGCTTTCCAGGAGCTCAGCTCCTGGCAAATCCCGGGCTTCCTGTTCTCCGTGTGGGCTGTGGAAGCGCCGGGATGGGCCAGGGCTGTGCTTCCTGGGAGCCAGTGGGATCCAGTGCCATTGAGGAGCACTTTATAACCGGTGTGCATTGATGTAAATAATCCTGGGTGCACGGAATTCCACTGGATTCTGAGTCCAGGTGCTGATATCCCACTCCATCCAGCGTGGGATGCTGCAGCCCCTGCTCCTTACCTGTTTCAGAGCTTTCAGAAGTGCTTCAAGCGGCCAGGAAAACATTATCCCTGTGGTTTAAGGTTCCAAAGGTGACCTTTCCCTGAGTGGAATCAGAGGGAGGAAGCCCCTCTGGATTCAGAGGAATTCGGAGAAGGAAAAATCCTTTTATTCTGAGCAACCAGAAGTTCTTTTTGTTTTTGTAGGTCCTTAAAAAAGGAGCAGGGAGCATGTGGTTTGGGAGCACAGGGTAAGGAGGAATTCCTGCACTCAGGAAACACTACCGAGGTGATTTTTCAGGAATACGCACAAAAATCTTGGAAGGTTTGAGGGGAAAAGGGGAGCTGAGGGGCAGGGAGGCCGGGGCTAGCAGGCTAGCTCCCCTTCTGGCCCAGGGGTTGGGATAAGGAGCTCATTCCTGCCCTTAATCCCAGCAGGAATTAACCCTTAGCACTAAGGCAGAGCTTGGGATCTGCAAAGCACTTTAAAACACTAAGGAAAAGGATCATCTCTGTCCCTGGGAGCGACATGGATACCTGGGATTAGATGGAACTACTGGTGGGAGGTGCCTCCAGGTGAGGAAAAGTGGGATATCTCCCTCCTAAAATGATTCCAGTGGGAACCTGCTGATGTTCCATGACTCAAATGTTGCACTAGAAAGTCCCTTCCTTCCCTGAACGTGTCCTGGAAGACTCAGTCCTGGGGTGACTGTTTCCTTCTTTGTGCCATTGGAACTGTATCCCATAGGAATGGCCTTCCCTTGCCCTGAGGGGAAGCAGTCTGGAATGCTGCAGTTTTTTTGCTCTGTGATTACTGGACTTTGGAAAACCTGGAAATACATAATTCCTGGGAGGTGGGCTTGCCACAGGTCAAGGAGTAAAGGCACAAAAGAGCCCCTTGAAGGTTCTCATTGTATCCTGTCATGGATAATTGCTGGTTTTTGTTGACAAACAGACCTGATCCCAGTCCTCCCAAATGAAATCCATGTTCTTGAAATTAATTCTGCTTTAAATGTCTCCGTGTCTTGATCCCCATTACTGTGTCTTGATCCCCAGCATTCTGTGTCTCCATTCCCGTCACTCCTTTGCTATCTGGGCATTTGGAAAGGCTGATCTCCCATATCCTCCTGGGAAAGCACACCTGGAATGCTGAAATACATGTTAAAGCTGCAGCTACCTCCTTCATCTGTACTGTACACCCTTCCTGCTTTCTCTTCCTGCTCTCTCTTTGGGAATACGAAGCATCTCCAGTTTTCCAAATCTTCTGGCTTCTGCTTCTTCCTCTTCAGCTTTGTGCCTTCTGATCTTCGAATATTCCCATGATACTCCAACAGGATGTTCCACCCTCTGCAGAGACAGTGCTGGAAGTGCCTGACACCCCAGATCCCAGACCGACCAACAAGTCACCCATTCCATGCCTCATCCTTAAATCCATTCTGGTCCTTCTTCCTTGGACTGAGTGACCTTTAAAGGTCCTTTCCAACACTGCTGAGTGTTGGTATTCCAAGAGTTTCTTGGCAGAGGAATGGAGCTGAGGCTCTTCTGCACCAGTAAATTGATTTTATTGTTGCTTTCATTGCAGCAGTGCCAAAAATGTGGGAAGGATCCTGCAGTGCTGAGGGTATACCAGCTCTTTTCCAATATCTATCATTACTTCTTCTCTATTGGGGCTGCCTTCTCCATTTGGAATATTCATTTCCTCCTAAAACTTCCCTCTTCTTTGCTCCTTGTTCTTCTCACCTATTTCAGGAGCCACCTTATCCCTCCCTTCTCTCAGGGTGCTAGTAGCTTGTTCCACATCCTTGGTAGCACATGGGAAACATGGGAAAACTATTCCAAAGCAGTTAAATGAGATTCTTGGAACATTTTAGGAACCTTTTTCCAAAGCAAACAGAATTTGTGGGAGGTATTTTGGTCTCTGCAGAGGGCTGGGATGGCAGAGGGTGAGGAGTGTGGTTATAGAATTCCAGTGATTCCCAGTTCTATTCTTTTAGGATGTTGGATTCCAGGAATAGTTGATGGTCCCATGCAGGATTAAAGTGGGAATTCTGTTTCCAAGGGCACATAAGAAGGAGGAAAAGCTCCAAGCGTGGGGATACAGGATGAATATCTAACACATTCTCCATGCACTTTGATGTTTTCCCAGCTTTTGCTGCTCTTTTCCTGCAGGCAGATAATATTATTTCCATGGACTCGCCCACACAGCTTTCATTTACAAATTGGGACATAGGAATAATCAGGATTACTCCTGGCAATGGGAATTAGGTGGGATTAATTATTGCTGGAATGGGTGTGTTTGGATTTGTGTTTTGAGGCTGTATCCACGAGCCTCCATTGGGCAGCAGAGCCCTTCTGTATTTGCCTTGGGAACTGCTGGGCTGGAGCTCCCCTCCATGCTGGGTTTATCCTTATCCATTCTGGGATATTCTTCCCTTGGCAGTAGGACATTCTGGCTTTGCAGGATGGGAGCAGGAATATTTAATTACAGTGGGTTTAGGGATAGTGGTTGTAACTGCACCTTTGAGTAACATTGCCAAGGGAGGTGTGGATTCTTCGTTCCTGGAAATATTCCAGGCCAGGTTGGATAAAGCTTGGAACAACCTGGGCTAGGGAAAGATGTTCCTGCCCATGGCAGCAGGTGGGAGCTTCCAAATGATTCTGGAATTCTGTGATTCCCTGCTTGTAGTTTTACGGTGCTGCAGGAAAGGGAAGGTTGGAATTCCAGCAGCACCTCTGCATGGATTGCTCTGCTGAGAAATTCCTCTGAAGGAAGCAGTTGGAAAGCACTGTGTGGAACTGGACTCATTGCTTTGTTCCCAGAGCCTGTGCAGTGCTGATTTTTGGGAAGAGCTGCTGGATTTTGGGAAGAGCCTCATTTCTTGTGCCAAAGCTCCCTCTCATGGCTCCTGCGTGGAAGAAGCAATGCTGCATGGATCCTGCTGGAGGCAAACACTGCCCATCCTTGGCAGCTGTGGGAAGAAGGAGAGGAGGGAATATTGCAGCTGGAAGCTGGGATTCAGTCTGGGAGTCCTTTGCTCTCCAGTTGAATCCCCAGGGGAATTATGGATGGAGAGAGGGATGGGAAGGGGGCTGAATCAGCAGTCACTGATGTCCTTCCCCTTCTTCTAGCTCCAAGGAGCTGCTTAAGGGCTGGAAATTCCAAATAGCCAAGGATTAAGGCAATTCCTTGCTTTGTCATAGGGAATCATCATGAGCCTCCAAATGCTTTGCTGTCTCCATTCCCATTGTTTTTTCCATGTTTCTTGAGTTCATACCTCTTGTGCCTTTGTTCTCCCTAGCTTCAGGTCCCAATTTCTGGGATCAGACATTTCCCACCTTACTTTCCCACTTCTCTGGGAGTATGGAAGTGTGGCCAAGGCCTGGTAGGAGCTGCCCTTGCTCCCGAGGTCTCCTGTTCTGCCTCAGCCAGGACTTCCCACATCTTCTCACTTTTCCCTGCTGCCTGGGGTCGTATCCAAGTGCCAAAAGCAAATCTTGACCTGAGGCAGGCAATTTCCTGCAGCCCACACCAAGTTTCTCCCTGGCTCTGGAGCAGCCCCCTTCCAAAGGTAAGCTCCCTGGGAATTTTTCCTGCTTTCCTTGTTGTCTCCAGTCCTTCTGACATCACAGTGTCACACCATGCTGCGTGCCCTGACTTTCCCACCTTCCCAGTGTACACCTATGGGATGAGGAGAACCTGTCCCTGTCTTGACCTCTTGATTCCTGAAAATCCTTGCAGCACAGGAACAAGCCTTGATGTTGGTTTTAATTTGGATTCCACTTCCCTGCTTCCCATCCCGGGCTTTGTGCAGTTCCGATGGCTCAGAGTTGGAAATCCCAGCTGGGGGTGGCATGGACCTGTCCTGCTGGGATATCCACTTTTGGGAAGTTTGTCCTAGGACACTGCCACACCCTTTGGGTCCTAACTCCTTTCCTGGGATGTCCCCAGCGCTTGGTGGTGGCAAAGTGGCCTCACCTGCAGCTCCAGCTTCCCACCTTTCCACAAGTCCAGGGGATACTCTTGACCTCCTGTCCTGGCGCTAAGTGGAATTCCTAATGGCACAGGGATATTTGGGAATGGGCTGTGCCTCCCTGTCTGGAATGTTGAGCCCTGTGAGCCTCTTTCCTTTGGCTCTGCCTCTCTGGAAAAGCCCTTCCTGCCTGTCACCTGTGTTCCATCTCGTGCTGGGGCAGCTCAGAGCAGGATACCTCTGGATTCATTTCCTGCTGGATCCCAATTGCCTCCTTAGATCTGAAACCTTTGGTATTTTTGGGAGAAGCAGCCCTTCCAGGGAGCTCTGAGGCACTCCCACTGCTTCTGGCAGGGCTCGGAGCACTTGGATATGCAACTGGGGGGGAAAACAGCCCAGCATCCTGCGTCCCCGTGCTCATCCTGGGAATGCTGCCCTCTGAATCCCTGCTCCGAGCTGCCCCAGCATGAAGATTCCAAGGAAACTCAAGCACTCCTCATGTGCCCTTCATTCTCCATGTGACTTTTTTGTACCTCTGTACGAAAGATCTGAACTAATCCCGCTGTAAAGAAAGATCCGGATGAATTATAACCTAATTCCAGAAATATGGATGTATATAAATTTTCTGTATATTCTATGGCACTCTGTATAAAATGGATGTTGGAAGCATGGCTGGAGTACGTGACTGTTCCCAAGGATGTCCTGGACATGGATGGTTGGGAATTGCCTGAGGTTTCTGCCTTAAAGGGTGGTGAGTGAGTTGGGAGAGGTGGGAAGGGCACCAGGAATTGGGTGTACGGCTTTTGGGAAGGATCCAGGAAATCACTGGGGGTTGGTTGTTTCTTCTCCAGCTCTTTCTGCTCTGGATCTCAGCCTTTGGAGTGGGAAAACACTTGGGGGAACATGCAGAGCTTGTGGATTTGCCATCCCCTGGCCAGGTTGGAGCAGGGTGGAAGTTGTCTTGGAAGTAGTAGGAGATGTCCCTGCTCATGGCAGGGATGAAACTGGATCTTTAAGGTCCCTTCCCACCCAAACCAGTCCAGTATTCCACGATCCCTGTCCCTTGAGATGAGTTCTAGGAATCTCTCCTTCTGTGGAGAAGGAAATAAAGGAAGGAACTGGATGATTTGAGTTATTCCAAGTTCAACCTGTTCTATAAAAAGAAGGATTTTAGGGCAAACAGGGAATTTTTTGGGAGTGGATGGAAATGACGGGGATAGAAGAGGAGCATGTGTGCTCTCAGTCAAGGATATATCCCAAATATTCAATTTATTGGATATTCCTGCCTGAACAGTGTGGCAATCTCCCCTTTGGATGAACAAGAAGGTGCTGGGATCCTTCTGTGAGCTGGGTGAGTCCAAACTGGGATTTTCCCAGTGTCCTGCAGGACACGGCTCTGGAGTTGTAAGGCAGGATTCTCACTGCCTGAGGGCTGTTCCCAGCTGAATAATTCCACATAATTCATATTCTGGAAAAGGGAAAAGATGCACTTATGGCTTACAGGGTCGGGGAATAAGGGCAGGAGATGTCCTGGAGCTTGCTGACCAGCCAGGAGAAATCCAGGGAGAAAAGGAATGCCTGGAAGTGTGTAATCCTATTAATGGCTGCATGGAATTGTTTTTTATGGCTGCTCCTGAAGGGACTATCAGGGAATTAAGAGCTCAAAGGTGGCTGAACTACTGAGTTCCTATAAAAATGCCTATAAAAAGTGCTGGAATGTTGAAGTGCCTGATGTTTTGGGATGGCTTTGTGGGATTTTTTTCCCTATCCGGAGCTATATCAGCCTCATAAAAGGATATTGGCTCTTCTGGAAACCCGTCCTCTCCTGGGGAAGGAAAACATCCAACTGTGGCTGCTATCCTTGGATAAACACGGAATAATCCATGTTTAGGAAAGGCTGCTTTAATTCAGTTTTTAAGGCTGAAAATATATGGATGTGGACACAGCAGGAGTGGGGGATGCTGCTATAAAACCTATTAAAAGCCTTCCTTAGGGATGTAGTCGTGTTTTCCAGGGAGATTCTCCAGCTGCTGGGTGGGTTGGTGGCCTTAGGGAAAAAAATCCCAGTTTATTGAGAAAAGTTGTTTCCAATCCATTGAGAAAATATCCAGAACTACAGAAAAAAGCCCCAAATTTTCCAACAATTTTTGAAGTGTTCCTCAGCAAGCAAAGAAAATGGGGGGGAAAAATGGGAATATTTAATTAACTAAAGCTGGGATCTAATTGTTAATCAATTCAATGGCATGGCATGGCACAAATAGTTCCTCAGGGTTTTTCCATGGATTCTGGGCTATATATGATCTGAGGGTGATGGTCCAGCTGTAATTCCTAGCCTGTTCCAGCAGGATTTGCATTTTCCTGCCTCCTCAGCAATGTCTCCTTGGATTTTCCAGCAATCTGTACTCATCCTTCCTGCTACAGAACTTCCTTGGAAAGCACATCCGGTCCTTGTGGCCTTGTTTGTCCTGGTAGAGTGGACAGGAGCTTTCCATAGAGCCTGGATGTCCTTCTTGGGAGTGGGTGGGTGACACTTCCCTGCTCCAGGCCTGGGTTGAGTCCTCGTGCTTCCAGCTCCAGACATCTCCCGGGGTGCTGAGGTATCCCAGGACATGTGTGTTCCTCCCTGAGGATGGTCCTTTATTCCTTTGTAAATCAATGGAGGTGTTCTCTCTGTCTCGGGAATGAACCCTTTGGAGTTAATGGATAACCAGGAAGGGATTGATCCACACAGGTCTCCTGCCAGGAGGAGATAACAGAGGGAGCTCTGCTTCCGCCTCCAGCAGGGTGGGAGCTTCCCTGGGAGTTGGAAAGGATTTCCCAGAGAAGCTGTGGCTGCTTCATCCCTGGAAGTGTCAAGTCCAGGTTGGACAAAGCTTGAAGCAGCCTGGAATAATGGAAGGTGTCCCTGCCCATGGCAGTGGATGGAATGGGATGAGCTTTGATGTCCCTTCCCACCCAAACCATCTGGGATTTGGGGAATTTGTGCCTGGATTGGGGTGGTTTGTGAGTAGGAGCTTCCAAGTATTCCAGCACCTCCAACAGCAACACAGCAGCTTCTTTGGTATTTGGACCCACCAGGAGAAATAGATCTTATTATCCACTGGATATCCCTGGATCCATGATCCTGGCTCAGCTGAGCCTCATGTGAGCCAGATCAATGATTCCGGCGCCTTTCCAGAGACTGAGGTGTCTGTGCTCAGAGCTGGTGGAAAAACTTGAAAAATGGACTTCAAGTCCTTCCAGTCATGCCTGGGAGTCTCAGCTGGAGGTTGGCATGTGGGGAGGGATGAGGTAAGGGAGGGGGAAATTCCTGAATTATTGTTTTGTTGGAAACTGGACTTTGAAATTCGGTGCCGGAGGGAGCCCCGGCCGCACCTTCCATGAGTAATATCCCGAGTAACATCTCTCCATCCCTTCCTGGCTCGTGCTGCCTGTGAGCCACGTGGGATAGGGAGAGCAGGGTTTGCAGGGAGCATGATCCAGAGGGGATTGGGAAGGGGGGGAAATGTGGGAAATATGGAGGGCAGGAGAAAGGAAAACCAATGAGGGACTGCGTTTAGACCCACTGGAGCTGCCTCCCTATGGATCAAAGCAATACCTTGGATTTTTTTGGATTCAGAGCTCTCTAGGATCCTTTGGGGATCACACAAGTCTGTGCCTGAAGTGCTGCATTCCCAGCTCACTGCAGGAAGGGAGTTGGACCATCCCATATGGATGAGGTTGGCTCCATCCCTTGGTGTGTTTTTCCACTGGGTCTTTTCCCTTTAATCAGGTCTGGGAAGGGAAAGAGCAGCATTCCTTGGGAGTGGGAGCTGAGCAGTCAGGAGCCTTCCAGTCAGGAGGCAGACTCAGGTGAGAAGGATGTGGATCATCCACACCTCAATTTAGGCACCAGAGGAAGAGGAAAGATGGGAAGGAGCAAAGATTCCTTAGGGATATGTCCAGAGGAGGGCATTCTGAAAATGGCAGTCACTTTGTGAGGGCAGAACCCTCAAATTTGAGGATTTGAATCCTTAATGAGCCATTCCCAAAGGGATTTTCCTGTGTGGTAAGGGATGTGTGGCACTCCAGAGCTGTCTCACAAGAGGTTGGGGATGTGGGAATGTTGACATTGTCCCTAAGGAAAGGAGGGAAGTGTCCTATTTTTACTGTGAATTAGTTGCTCCACAGGATTTTACACTTTAGGATGGGAAATCCCAGGCCAAGTCCAACATGGTCAATCCAGAGGGATCCAAGTCCAGGTTCAGGATCCTTTCCCAAATCTTTTGATCATCCTTGGACCCATCTATATGGTCCAATGCTGTCACAGGCAGGAACTTGTGGAAGTGCTGGTAGAACAGGATGGGCTTTAAGGTCACTTCCCATCCAGACTATTCCAGGATTCCATGATCCCTGTTCCTCAAGACCAGTTCTAGGAATCTGTCCTTCAGTGGAGAAGGAAATTAAAGAAGGAACTTGATGCTTTGAGTTATCCCAAGTTAAAGTCATCCTGCCATATAGAAAAAAGGATTTTAGTGCAAACAAAGTTGCATACAAGGGAAATTTTGGGAGTGGATGGGAATGACAGGGATAGAAGAGGAAGATGAATGCTCTCAGTCAAGAATATATCCCAAAAATTCAATTATGTTGGATATATGAGTCAGAATGGTGTGGAAATCTGCCCTTTGGATGCTGGGTTCTTTCTGCAAGGAAGGTGAGTCCCAGATGGGATTTTCCCAGTGTCCTACTGGGACATGGAAACATAAAGCAGGTTCTCATAGCCTGAGGCTATTCCCAGCTGAATAATTCCATGGATAAGCTTTAAGTTCCCTCCCAAGGCAAGCCGTTCCAGGATTCTGGGATTCTAAATCATAGAATCATGGAATATGATTCTAGAAATCAAATTATGATTTTATGAATCCATAAGAGTATGGGAAATGATTCCAGGATTCTGAATGACAGAATCATGTATTCTAGGATTTAATATCCTGAGTTGGAAAAGGCCCCAAAGGATCATCCAGTCCAATTCTGACTTTAGTGCTGGGTTTAATCTTTATTTAAGTAAAACATTACAGACCAACATCTAACAGGGTTTAGGCTGGGCTGGCATTCGGCTTCCCAGGAAAAATCCATTTTCCCTTAATTTCCTTTCCTTCCCACGCAGCTTGTGCCCGAAACAGGGGGCTGAGAGCAGGAACAAGAGGAGCAAGGAATAACAATTGTCTTAATGTGGAGAGAGAGGAGAAAAAAGGGCTCGTTCTCTCCATCCCGAAATAATAGACCCATTACTGTCCCCAATCCTCAATCCCCCTCCTCTCCTGGGAGAAGAATTGGTCACTGCACAGCTGTGGGAGCAGGATAAATATATTTATATATCCCGGAGAATCTGCCCTTCTCAATTGGGATGTGGGGCTGGACAATCCCTCATTGTGCCCTGGCTGGCCCGCAGCAGAAAGGCCCCACAGTTTGGGGCTGGCAGGGCCCCGGCGCTCCGAGAACTCGGAACTTCATGGACATTATTCCCAGCGGGCCCTTATTTATTTGATTGGAGTCATTATGGGGTGGGAGGGGTGGGGGGGAGCTGGGCGTTATTGGGGATTGTGGGAACATCTGGGGAGAACAAACCACAGCTGGGCCTTCCCCTGAGGGGGCAGGGGTTGGGGTTCGGGGTGGGATTTGGGGCTGGATTTGGATGATTTGGGGCTCGATTTGGTGATTCAGGGCTGGATTTGGATGATTTGGGGCTGGATTTGCTGGTTGGGGCTGATTTAGGGTGATTTGAGGTTGGATTTTGGTGGTGTGTAGCTGGATTTTGATGATGTAGGGACGAATTTGGTGCTTGGGACTGATTTAGGGTGATTTGCAGCTGGATTTGGGTGATTGGGGCTGGATTTGGGTGATTTGCAGCTGGATTTGGTGTTTAGGGCTGGTTTATGGTGATTTGCAGCTGGATTTGGTGTTGAGAGCTGGTTTAGGGTGATTTGGAGCTGAATTTGGGTGATTTGGGGGCTAATTTTTCGTGGATTTAGGGCTGGATTCTAGTGATTTAGGGCTGGATTTGTGACTGGGTTTTGGGAGTTTGCAGCTGCATTTTGATGATTTAGGGCTGGATTTGGTGTTTAGGGTGATTTGGGGCTGTCTTTTGGTGATTTGACGTTCAATTTTGATGATTTGGGGCTGTTTTAGGGTGATCTGCAGCTGGATTTTGGTGATTTGCAGTAGTTTTTGTGGTCTGTGGCTGGAATGTGAGGCTGGATTTTGGGGATTTCCTGGTTCTGTAATTTGTGCCTGGATTTCAGTGATGCCTTTTTTAAAAACAGGATTCCAGTGATTTGTGGCTGGTTTTGGAATTTCTGGGAGGATTTTGGTGGTTTGTGGTCGGATTTTGTGCCTCAGGGCTGGTTTTATGAACAGGTTTGCTGGTTTGTGGCTGCATTTTTGTAATTTGTGGCGGGTTCAGTGTTTTGTGGCTGGGTTTTGGTACTTTGTGATTAGGTTTTCGTAATTTCTGGATGGCTTTTGGTCATTTTTGGCT